ACCAAACTTAATTACCAGACGTCTGGGACGCCTCTCAGTTCGCAGACCCCTCTACCCAGACTCTTGCCTCCGGCTCTCCCAGTGTGTGGTTGCTGCTAGCTGCTGATCTGCAGAAGTTACAGCTGGGGAACCGTTGGCATCCACAAAGACCGCCTTCTCTGCTGTTCTCCCTGGGAAGCCACATGCTACCAGCCTCCCTGGTGGCAATGGAAAAGAGGACAGATTTTTTTCAGAGTCTCATCCTTTCAAGTGAAAATTAGTGMGTATTATAACTTGAATTAAATGGGTTCCCTGACTCCATCGACTGCAGAAATTGTTGGTTTCTAGATGCTGATTGTAAGGGATAATTCTTAATTCCAGGTATCAGTCTCTGCTTCCCAGCATGCTTCTTGGCCTTTCCCACCCATAGGCTTTCATGTGATTTGCTCTTCCCTGGAGTGTTTGTAGGAGGTAAAGGGAGGAGGAGGAGATCAGCATCAGGGAAACAGCTAACATTGACTGAATATCTATTCTATTTTAGGTACTGTTCTGAGCTCTTTACTCCAACCTTATACAGGCAGGTACCCTTATTTTTTCCCAGTTAGCAAATGCAAAAACTAAGTCCATCATAGGTGAAATAACATGCCCAGGTGTTCGTAAGTGGTAAGGGGTCTGTCTGGATTCAGAACTAGCTAGCATGTGCTAAYTAAGCATTCGGGAGAGTCCTGCAAGTGTGCACGGTGCAGGTTATAGCTTGGAGCCAACAACTGTACGTATGTACAAAATCACTTTCCCCAAATCTAAGAAATACTTGGTCAATTTTTCAATTTTATCTTATGAAAATGAATGAATCTAAAAGAGTTGGGAGTTTGCCCGAACAAGGCTAGGGGATGCCTCTGACTCCACAAACTGCAGGCAAAAATGTTGCATATAATTTTGAGAAGTTCAAAGTCCCTCTAAAGTACTTCTTCTAAGGGACCCCATGGAACTCCCAGATTAAGAAACTGTGACTTGGAGCAATATTAAACTTGATCAATATGAGAAACTGATTTGATATAATAGGAACAGAGGAAGCTAAAAACTCAGGTAGGAAAATAGAAATTTGTGTAGGATTGTATGGCTTCAGGTGGACTTTCCTGTTTCAGAGTCACAGCTTCCCTGACCCTCTCCCAGCTCAGGGATTATTTGGATTTCTACAAAGTAATAGTAGATCACTGCTTTGAGTTCTTTGAAGAGATGAGTCCACTCCTTTGTAGAGTATCTTTCTGACAGTTTCCAGGTTGCCTAACCCTAGAAAATTTGCAAACTCAAATTAGTGACACAAACAGCAAGCAGACTCCTGTGGAGATTCCAGGAACACAAGAAAGGGCCTGTTTTTAGGTCTCTAAACCTGGGACTTTCTTAGCCAATCAGCTTTATAGGGGAGGAAAAAAAAATCCTTAAACATCTGTGGTTTACTGCAATCCTGTAAATTAGACTAGCAAAAGACAGATTAACAAGAGAAAAACATTAATTTAGAGAGGAACAAAGACTTTTATGCATGGGAACAAGTACTGATGAATAACTTAAAAAGGTGGTGAGGATTTGGGGTAGCATCTTAGCTTAACAATAGCATCTTAACAAAAGAACAACATTTGTAGAGAGGTGGTAAGAGAAGGAAAAGGATTTTGAACTTCCTGACAAATATATGGAGAACTCTTGGATAATAAGTGCTAGTCAGTAAGGTTTGCTGTGTAGATTCTTCCTGGGCTGATAACGGGTCCAGAGTTGTCTCTGGTGATTAACTTTCTTTCTTCCTAGTGGAGAGAGAAGGTGCGGGACACCTTTATAAGTGATGCTCTAATTTTAAGCAAACAGGGAAGGTACAAGGGCTTTTTCTCAACTGGCTTCAGCTCAAAAGAATTCTAAAGCCAAAGTGGCATGTTTTGAGTGACATGTTCTGCTGCCCTTCAGCAGAAGTCACCCTGTCAGGGGAACGATTGCCCCAGGGATGAGGCTGCTGGGCACTGATGCCAGGAGGCTGTGTGTGGAGGAGGTGGGAGAAGGAAGCAATGCTCTCAGTTTGTGGTAGAGTCCTGAGAGRCTATAAGTCCCACAGTGTTTGGAAACAAAGTCACCTCCAAATCACTGCCATCACCAAAGGACCCGGAAACGTTGACCAGAAATAAATGACCCTTTATCTCAGCTGCACCCCTTAGATGCCTTGTCTTTGCTATTTTCCTTTTTTTTTTTGAAGGCTACTCTTTGTGCTTGTTTTATACAGATTTTCCCTGGACAAAGAATTTGAAGGTGAGTGTTATGGTTTGGATGTGAGGTGTCCCCCAAAGCTCACATGTGAGACAATGCAAGAAGGTTCAGAGGAGAAATGATTGGGTTGTAAGAGTCTTAACCCAATTAGTCAGTTAATTCTGTGACAGGGATTCACTGGTAACTGAAGTGGTAGGGTGTGGCTGGAGGAGGTGGGAATCGGGGTGTGGCTTTGGAGWATATATTTGTATCAGGTGAGTGGAGTCTCTGTCTGCTKGCTGATCATGATGTGAGCTGCTTCCCTCTGCCACTCTCTTCTACCATGATGTCCTGCCTCACCYCCAGCCCCGAGGAATGGAGCCTGTTGTTTATGTATTGAGACTTCTGAAACTGTGAGTCCCCAAACTTTTCTTCCCCTAAAATTACTCTGGTCAAGTCCTTTAGTCACATCAGTGAAATAGCTGACTAAAACAGTGAGGATTTTCTCTGGGCATCCTTAGGACAGATAATACAGATGACAGTTAATATTTATTGTGATGGCACATGCCACAATCCCAGGGACTCAAGAGACTGCGGTAGGAGGATTGCAAGTTTGAGCTGAGTCTTGGTAATATATCAAGATTCTGTTTGAAAATAAATAATAAAAATGGCTGGGGATGTAGCTCTGTGTTCAGTCCCTGGGTTTAGTCCCAGTAGTGGAAAAAAAAACAACTGTGCAGCTAGAATGTGCTAGGCACTCTGCTACAGGCCTTCCATGCATAAACTCATTTAACTTTTCTAGTGACCAAGAAAGTGGGTTTGATTATTATTTCCATTTTGTAGAGAAGAACACAGATTCAGAGAGTTAGTTAGCTTGCTTGAAGTCACGCAGTCAGATAGTGGGGACTTCAGGATTTGAACCCAGGGCTCTGAGTGCTGAGTGCTTGCTTCTGGTCACTTCATTGCAGGGTGCTYCTAGCAGGACTGGGAGTTTAGCAACTCCTCCTTAATGAAGCCATTTGTTTCAGGGTTCCCACCTTTCCAAACCTGCCCAGAGCCCTGGGCTTTCACCCTCCCTCAGGTTTTTCTTACTTTCTTTTCCATTCCACTTCAAATGCTTGCTCTTTACTTTGGACCTTCAACAATAGTTGACGATCACTTACCTTCCTGGGGGGCTTACCTTGGGCTCACTCCTAAATCATCAGCACCCTCCAACAACTTAAAAGAATAAATTGAAACACTSTGGTGGCACTCAGAATCTTCAATCTCTACATCCATTTGTCTCTAATCTTCAGTTGGCTTTTGTCTATGGTTGGTTTTGTTCTGTATGTCTCTATATAACTGTCTTTTATCATCTATCTGTCTCCTTATTTATCAAAATTGCTTAAAAGGCATTTTAGTGGTAGGTCTTGCCATGGATCTTTTGGGGGAAAGTACAAATGCAAATTATGACCTAYACTTATAAACACCCACCATTTACTAGTGGCATCAGCCAAGTTCCTAGATAGTCCTTTTTTTGTTCCCCTCTCTGGCTTGTGATAGGTTTTTCTTAGACTTCAGGCCAAGCCTCTCTGCTCTAGGAAGCTTTCTCACTAGTCCTGGCTTGAAATGGTCACCTGCTTCTCCTGATTTTGGCTTTTAAATCTGGTAGTACAAACTGGGACCAGCTATGGTCCAAGGCCCAATTCCACATTAGACCTGGGCATATCTTGCTTTGCCATGTCCAGCTGAGTGATATTGAGCAGGTCAGTTAATCCTCTGAGTCTCCATTTCTGCATCTGTGATATACAGATAATACTACCTACTGTACATGACTATAATGATTAAATACAATTCTGTATAGACAGAAGTGTACCTAAAATATTTGAATACAATTTTATAAGGGCAACATTGTAAGAATCTGTATAGCCCTAGTGGCTTGGACAACAGCCTCTGGATCTGGTTGCCCTGCGTGTTCCTATCCTAGCTCTACCCCTTACTAACTGTGTGACCTCAGATGTGTTATTGAACTCAGTGGCTCAATTTTCCTACTCTTGTAGAAGATAGGTTTACTGTGAAAAGACAGGAGGTAAGGCACCTGGCACTGAGAAGCTGATAAAAATCAGACATCTTGTAAACCATTCTTTTTACTCACTTCAAGATGCGGTTTGCAGTGCGGGTACCTAAACTGAGCTCCCTCACAGTACAGTGTCCCCAAGCTCCATGACCTGCCTGACATGTGCTCAGGAGTCATCTATACCGCTGAACTCACTCACCGTCATAGGAAGATGAGCAACTGCCCCTGCAGCCTACAGATGCAGAGAAAACCGTTTCCAAACTAGGATCCTTAGAGCAGAGGGAGGGGAAAGAACTTAGAGGTAAGAGTGTTGGGAGGGGAGGGGGGTGGGCGCCTCTTCTCCGCCCATCACCGATTCCCTCTCCCGAGGCCATCGGGTTCCACGTGTGCCGTGAGGGCAGCCGCGGCCAACCCGCGTGCCAGGCGTCCACGGCGGTGGGGCAGTGGGGTGAGAAACCACCCCTGCCTCACCTGAGTGGCCCCGTGGCCCCGCCTACCTGGATACCGGTCCAGGTGCTGAGGGACGGGACGCACCCTCCATCCAGGTGCGGGATATCTGGAGCCCAGAGGACCCGCAGCGTCCCCGCCCGCCCCTGTCCCCGGCCTCGGGGCACCGCCACACCTTCCCGGGCCCCGCAAGGGTTAAGGCAGCGGAGAGCAGAGGTTTGGGCTGACGTCGCTCTGGCTGAAGGTGGTTTCCCCGGGATGAGGATGGGAGAGCCCGGCGGCGAGCTGAAACCCGAGCTGCCGCTCAGCTGGGGCTTGGGGAGGTCCCTGGAAGAGCCGCCAGCCCGCGGGCCTCCCGCGTCCCTCCTTTCGCTCCCCCGCAGTCGCTGGGCTCGGCACCACCGCGGGAAAGATGGAGCTGGACCGGTGGACGCAGCTGGGGCTCACGTTCCTGCAGCTCCTTCTCATCTCGTCTTTGCCAAGAGGTACTGTCACCCAGAGGGTCCAGGACCCCTGGAGAAGGGGGTGCATTTCCCTCCAGGGGGCTGACCCGGAGCAGGACCGGGAGTCTGGGCGGGGGACTTTCTCTGGTGATAATCTCGGGGCTTTACTGGTGACCCTGGAGCGTCTGTTGCCTTCGCTGAGAAGGGGATACAGTTTTGTCATCGGTAATTGTGGGACTGGACTGCCTCAGGAAGGGGGGAGAGCTCCAGTATGATCTGCTCAATTTTAGTTTATCTGCTTTAAAGCATGAAATGACCTTGGGGAATCAATTCAGTCTGAGTTGCAAGCGTTGATTTGCAAAAGCAAAGTTTCCCCTGGAAAGAGCTCCCGCAGAGGTGAGCTGGAAAGAGAGGGGAATAAAGAGCAGGGCTTGCCTGGGTGTTCCTCCTGGTGAATCTTGCTTCATGCTGTCTGACAACAATGTATCTGAACAGATTTCCAACACAAGRGATTTCTTCATCCAGCACAGACACACTTTCTGATAAGAAAGAGAAAGAAGAGAAAGAAAGCTGGGGTTAAAAGTGCAAGCTGTTTCTGGGGATGTTTGTTTTGAAGGAATTTTGGTTTCTTTGTTTTTCACATGCCATTTTTCTGAGCCACAATTCCCAGGTCAAATGGGCTTCCAGGAGAAGTGAGGCTGGGACGTGACTCAGAGCTCCTGGAAGCCTGTTGACCTAGCAAAGGACAAAAGCCAGGGAGTGGAGGGTCTTCTAATGGCTTGCTGCCAGGCAGGGAAGCAGGGGCTTCTTAGAAGCCTCTGTCCTTATATGGCTCCAGGGATGAGGTGTCACATCAGGTGTGACTTATGAGGTAAAGGCTTGAGATGTACAGATGTGACAAAATAGGGCAGCTTTGTGCAGAAGCAGGTATTGTGAACCTGGCTGCTGGTTCCCTGTGCTCCATCTCTGCAGGTGGCCCGAGTCACAAACAGGATAAGTGGGGTGGTGAGGATGCTGAGTGCTATGGTCTGCTGTAGGGAGGGGGACACAGCCTAAGATACATCCCTCATCRTCAACAAAAAAACCTCTCCCCCACTTGGGCTGATCCTTTTCATTTACTTGGAGCCTGCCTGCCCCCAGGTAAATCTTCCTTAGTGATGTGTCATCAAAATGGTGAGAGTGTTTCATTTGAATTTTACCTCCAAACTATCTGGAGCAGCCCAAAGACTAATGAAGGAAGGAGGAGACCTTCAACGGTGGCTGATAACCCATAAGCCTAAACACTTGACCAGGGCTAAGTTGAGGACTCCTCCCTCCTTGATCTCCAAACTTCCAGGCTGTGGTAGCCTTCCTTAGACCAACTCCAGGGGACCCTGGTTCTTGTCTGAGTGCCAGGGCTTGGTGGATGAGATTACTCACTAAACAAACAAACAAACAAACAAACAAAACAAAACAAAGCTCAGCTGCCCACGATCTGAAAAACCCATTTCTTACAGACCTGAGAATCTCTTTTACCTTTTGCTATGGAAAAGCATTGGGGAGGGTGTGTGATTTGTTGTCAGCCAAGCTGTTGATGGAACTGGAGAGCTGTTYCATGTGTTTAACAAGGGTATTTCAGTTGTCGAATGTTCACATTTGGAGGGAAGGCAGAGGAATAGAGTGGAGAAGGAAAATATTTCTTCATGCAGTGAACGAGTCCACTCCCTGCTGGAATTTTGAATCTGGCCCCTGACAAGAAAAGCTTGGAAGCGTATTTGTTCTAATTCCTTTGCTAAAAAGAGTGTCGGATAAAATGTAAACATCCACTGGGATGGGATGGGTGATTGTTGTTGCTCATGAGCATGTGATACATGTTGGAGGATGAGAATCCAGACACTGGGCCAAGTGATAAACCTAACATAAACAGCATGTGAGAAGGGAAACCCAACTCCAGTGACTTCACCAACAGCAGTAGCTCTGCCAGAGTGACTCTGCCTAAGAGGAAAACCTCATTTAAAATATGGGTCTCTTGGGAAATGAAACCTTAATATGGATAACTTCACAAGTGTTACTTCCAACAGACGCTGGCTTGTGGGGAATGAACGCAAACGTCAGTGGGGGAGATAATTTGAAGCGCAGATATTCAGTGGGTAGGAGCAGCCAGCTGAGAAGGGGAATGTGGAGAGGAAGCTAGGGAGAAGGAGTGGTAAGAAAAAATGAGATGTTAGTTTATAATGGGATGTGTTAGCACATTCCAGGGTCAGAGCTAGGAAAATTGGGCCTTCTTGGCAGGGGTGGATTTTTGTAGGGACCAGGAAGAGGGTGTTCACCCCAATATACTCTGAAAGTTTCTGGCATCCCAAAAGGAAAATAATTTTGTGGTGGGATCATAGATTTTTGGAGCTGAGAGTGACTTTAGCGGTCAGTTTAGTTTGGGTCCTTTGTTTCCAAAGACAAGGAGACTGGACATCTAGCTGACATCTAGTGACATTTATGATCCAAAGGCTTTAGTGCATTAATTATGAGATTCCCCCACTTGATAAAGTAAGGTATTATGGCCATCCCTGCTTTACAGATGAAGTTCAAAGAASCTCTGTGATTGGTTCAAGGATACACACGCATGATTCTCAAAAAATTAAGCCTAGAATTGCCATTTGATCTAGTGATTCCATTTCTGGGCATATACACAAAAGAATTGAAAGCAGAGACTTGAACAGATATTTGTAAACTGATGGTCTTAGAATATTATTCCCCAAAGTCAAAAGATGGAAACAACCCAATGTTGGTCGGTGGATAAATAAAATGTGCTACAGGCATAGAATAAGATATCATTCTTGTTTAAAAATGAGGGAAACTTTGATACATAGTATAACACGGCTGAACCTTGAGAATTATATACTATATGAAAGAAACCAGACACAAAAAAGACAAACATCASGTGATTCCATTTATGTGAGGCACCTAGAATAGTCAAATTCATAGAGACAGTGGGATGGGAGTTGTCAGGATCAGTGGAGAAGAAGGAACAGATGTTATTGTGCAGAATTTCAGATGTAAAAATTCTAGAGATAGATATGGGTGATGTTGTACAACTGTGTAAATGTATTTTTTAAAAATTTATTTTAGTTGGGTGTAATACCTTCGTTTCATTTATTTATTTTTACATAGAGCTGAGGACCGAACCCAGTGCCTCACATAGGCTAGGCAAGCACTCTACCCACTGAGCTACAACCTCAGCCTCTGTGTGAATGTATTTAAGGCTACTAAACTATGTATATAAACTATGTGCGTAAACATGGTTGGAAAGATGGTTTTATGTTATATACATGTTGCCACAATAAAAAAAAATATTAAAATCTACGTAAGCAGATTAGGGGAGCCTATGGTGAACTCCACTGTCCAAAGTCTGAGCCCAGGTTTGCCTGTTAGCTGATTGACTTACACTCACACATTTAGCATGTGGGTAGATGGTGCTTATGCACATCTAACCTTGACAAAGTTCCAGGACACACAGGAAGCAGGGGGAAAGCCCTTGCTAGCTCCCGTTGCTCTGTCTTGGCTGACTGTGGCAAAGAGGAATGTTTCARAGCTGAGAACTGCAAACTGGCAAGCTTCAGGTCACATGGCTTGCAGAAGTATTTAGCAGGACACCGTGCTTGGAAATGTGTGAACCTGAATGCCTTGAGGGAGTTTGGATCCTCTCTATGGCCTAACACTCATCTGCTAGTCTCCACTGGCATTTAAGTTTATGACCTCCATTCCTGAGAGGGACGGGGTAGAAGGCCACATGCTGAATGGGGACATCATGCAAGTTGAATAAAACTGCTTAGGAATAATTGACCAACAGGACTTTTAAAAGCATGTTCTACAGGAGATTTTTATAAGACTGGAATATATTTGAACTTGTGTGTTTCGTGAAATGTAATCTCACCTCTCTCTGTGACCTCCTACTCTTTGGTACAATGCTTTATTCTCATGAATGACTACCAGTGTGACCTTTTGGTGGAAACTGAGGACAAAGCTGGGTGCTATAACTGGGCTTCATAAACTGTGAGTCAAGCACTTTTGGACATGGAAGCCCAGAAGCAAAGGTGACTTTGAGCATGTAAGTCCTTTGGAAATACTCAGAAGTCCTGGGGAGGTCTTTGGAATGTCACTGGCACAGACTGTGGGTTTGATTTAATCTTCCCTACATCTGGGTTGCACTGAGGAGATAGAACTGGCCTAGATAATAATGTCTGGGAGACCTAATGATTGGCCTTGAGTCAGAAAATGATTTCCATCTGCCTCAATGAGGGTGAACAATCCTGATACAGTAAAAAACTTCTCCCCTGATCCCAACTCTAGAAATTGCAGTTGATTTGAGGCATGTGCACATTGGGGAAACTGTCATTTCCATGATAAATGAGGGAAGGTGTGCACCTCCCTTGTCCTCCAAGGGAGAGGGGTGAGCAAGGGAACTGTCACCCTCACCATATGGATATTTGAAAGTCACAAGCCCTTCCCTCCTTATTTTAATTTAAAGAGGAGAGAAATACTGTRTTTATACTTTCCAGTTCCTGAATTCCAGGGCAGAGGACCCAGAAGCCAGCTGGAACATTGAATGCTACCAGATCAGTGGCAGAACGTCTACCAGATTCCAAGCCTGGTCTATGTTTAAGGAAATCTGTTTGTCAGCCTTCACAAGATGTAGGCCAAAACCATACGTTTAGAACGGAGAGAAAGAAGTAAAAAAGTGCAGGACAGATCAGGTTTTGTAACTGTGAACAAAATGACTCAAAGAAGGCAGGGGATTAAGAGTTGGCTGGAGATGGTCCACTCTCTGAGGAATTGAGACTTTCTGCCTTCTCTCCAGGTTTATTTCTTTTATTTTTCTATGTTGCGATTACCTGTGTGGCAGACTCAGTGCGCGCCGTGTGGGTTGAGAGGGGTGTAGGTAGGGGTCGCACATCAAATTCTTCACGTCCATGATAGAAATTCCAAAGGTGGAAGCACACCTTAATGATCTAATCCCAAGACTGGTTACAAAGATAGATAGTTGATGGAATTGTGATAAGTGCGAA